AAAATTTTTGAAAATAATTATTGAAATTTTTGCCGAGAATTTTTTCAAAATTTTTTAAAATAATTGAATTGATTCGAAGAATTTTATCAAACTTTTTTAAAATAATTGAAATTTTGCAACAAATTTTATTAAAATTTTCAAAAATAATTGAATTCTTATGAAGAACTTTTATTAATTTTTTTGTTAAATAATTGAATTATTGCGAAAAAATTTATAAAACATTTTGCAAATGATTGAATTCTTGCAAAGAATTTTATCAAAAAATTTGATAATAATTGAATTTTTTCGAAGAATTTTATTGTTTATGAAAATAATTGAATTTAGGAAGAATTTTATTAAAATTTTACATAATCTTAATTAAATTCTTTTGAAGAATTTCTTTGAAAATTAAATTTTTTAATAATTGTATTGATAATAATTGAATACCTGAGAAGAATTTTATTATTTATGATAAATACTTTAATTTTTGCGATGAATTTTAATAATATATTTCTTTTTAAATAATTCAATTCTTTTGTGAATTTTTATTGAAATAGTAGATATTAAAAATAATTGAATTTTGATATTATTGAAATTAATTTAATTCTACAAAGAATTTAATTCAAATTATTTTGAAAAAAAATCGAATTGTTAAAAATTATTTCATTAAAATCTTTGAAAATTAATTTTAATAAAAATTTTAAGAATAATTACATTTTTCGAGAAATTCCATTAACATTGTACCAAAAATAATTAAAATTTTGTGATGATTTTTATTATTTATGAAAATAATTGAATTCCTGGTTAAACAAATGTTATTCTTCATGAAAATAATTGAATTATTGGGAAGAAATTTATAAAGAATTTGTAAATAATAGAATTCCTCTGAAATTTTTATTATTTAATTCATTCATTCAAAATTGTCATTTTCTAAAATTTCGAATTAAATTTTTTTTTAAATAATTGAATTCGTTTTGGGAAATATTTTATTATTGAAAATCATTAAAATTGGAAAAATTTCTGAAAATAATTGAACTTTGGAGAAGAATTTTGTTATTTCTAAAGATAATAGGGATTTTTACGAGAATTTTTTTCAAGATTTGAACATAGTTGAATTTAATAAAAATTTTTTTTTTTTAAGAATTTTTGCAATTATTTTTAAATTCTACAAAATTGAATTTTTTTAGTATTTTCAACAAAAATTTAAATTTTCAAATTTTCAAATTTTATTATTTTTAAAATTGCTAATTTTATTTAAAAAAAGGTATAGTAAGAAGTTAGCCGCGCGATTTGTTGCTAGTAATCAATTAATTCAATTAAAAATGTTCTTCAAACGAATTTTTTTACAATCTGGAAGATTTAATTGTAATTAAATGACTATGAATTAATTTACCCCCCTCCCACTCTACGTACTAAAATGGAAAAATTTATTCAAATAAAATAATCAATTAATAGAAATAAAAATTTACTTCAAACTAATTTTTTTTATTTTAACTAATTTTTTCCAGTTTGGAATTATTACTGATAATTAAGTAGTTGATAAATTAATTTACTCCCCCTCCCTACTCACCATGCTAAAATAGAAAATATTTCTTTGAATGAAATAATTAATTAGTAGAAAAAAAAATTTACTTCAAAAACTAATTTTTTTTATTTGAACATAATAAACTAGAAAAAATTTATTTAATTCAAACAATGAATTACTATAGAAATAAAACTTTACTTCAAACAAATTTTTTTATCCACTTTAATTTTTTTCCCATCTGGAATATTTACTGATAATTAAATAGTTGTTTAATTAATTTATTTCTCCCCCTGTATTAGGAGAGAAATAAATTAATGCTAAACTGGAAAATATTTATTGGAATAAAATAATCTCCTAATAGAAATAAAGATTTACTAAAAGCGGCTTTTTTAAAACTAGTTTGTTTCTAATTTGGATTATTTACTTATAATTAAAAAATAATTAATTAATTACCCCCCCCCCCCTTCATGCTAAACTGGGAGAAATTTATTTCAATCAAATACTAAATTACTAAAAATACAAATTTTTTCAAACGAATTTTTTTTTCTTCAGATTAATTTTTTCCTCATTGTGGAATATTTACTGATAATTAAATAGTTAATTTATTAATTTACCAAAATCAAATCATCAATTAGTGTAAATAAAAATTTTTTTCAAAGGAATTTTTTTTATTTGAACTATTATTTTCAGTTTGGAATATTTAATTGTAATTATGTTATAATTATTATTATTATGAAATATTTTTTAAAATATTTTTTACAGTCTGGAATATTTAATTATAATTAAGTAATAATGATTAATTTATTATTATTAGGATATGTTTTTAGAAATAATGAAAATTTATAGATGCAAATAACACTTAAAACTTTAAACTCTATTTGGTCGTAAAAATTGTTGTAGAATATTTTTTTTTAATTACTATTTCCCTCATAATTTATTAAAATTGAGAATTGGAGACATTTTTTTGAGGAACATTTTTTAAACACTCAATATATCTAACTATATTCCTCTCGAAATAAATCCAATATGAAAAATAATTGAAAGAACATAAAAGCTTTTCTCTCGAAAAATTTGAAATTTCGTAGAAAAGCAATTAGAAAAAAGTCACATTCAGTTTGACATGTTACACTAAATTATGACTCAAGGAATTCATTCATATGGTGAAAATAATAGTAAAATTAATTCTCAATGTTTTGTTCATATTGTACAGAAAATATTTTTTCTATTCGAAAGAATAACTCCATTGTTCTTTTGAACATTTTTTTTGTTCTTTTGATGAATTTTCATTAAATAAATTAATAGAAATTTTGTTTCTTATTCTTAATAAATAAATCATTTCTTTTTATACATAAATATGTAGAAATTTTTCTGATAATAATAATAAATTTTTTTATTATTAAAAGTTTTATTTATTATATTTTTTTATTATTATTAAATTTTTTAAAAGAAAATTTAATTTTTGATTGTATTTGATTTGAATAATAATATTTTCTTGATTTAAATAATTTTCATTTAAATCAAATAAATTGTATTTCATTTAAAATTTTTAATAAATATTTATTTGAATCAAATAATTTTTATTTAAATCAAATAAATTGCATTTGAACGAATAATTTCAGTATTAGTTTTTGGTAAAAATTGTAAATGAAAATTGATTAATAATTTTCTTATAAGCGAAAAATGAATTTTTTTTCTTTGACTGTGGCGAGAGTTGAGATTATTATCAATTAGAATTATGGGCACTACGAATATAGAAATGATGACAGGGTGGTCGCTTATTACGATTGTTGAGTGCCCCGCGATAGTATTAAATAACAGACACCGAACAGGTCGAAGAACGGACATTTGAAACGCATTGCAATGCCAAGAGAGCATTTTAATTATTATTGCGTACAAAAATCGTTTTCTTTATTCATTATTTATTTATTTTTTATTTATATTTAATTTTATAAACAAATATATTAAAATACGGTAATTATAGTATATTATTTAATAATAATTATTTAATTAATAATTCAATTCTATTTCCATTTTTTATAATGTAATAATAATATTCATAATAATTTAAAAAATAATGCAAATATAATTAATTAAATAGTTAACAAATTAATGAAATTAATACCAAAAATAATAATTATTATTTATTTATTTGTTTTTTTAGCCGTTTTTTAATATTGATAATAACATTTTCAGATAAAAAATAAACATAATGAAAAAGGCCTCTAAAAATTTTATTATGAATAATAATTATTACTATTATTATTATTATTATTATTAAGTAATATTATTATAATAAAATATTGTAAAATTAAATATATTTTTTATTTTATATAATACATTTTTAAAATATAATAATAATAACGATAAGAATAATAATTATTTTTATTATTATAATTATTATTATTATTCACATTCTTATGAAAATAAAGAAAGTACTTAGAAATCGATTGAAAACCAAAAAAATAAGTTATTTATTATTAATAATTAATATTGTGGGTTTGTGACTTATGGAAATAAAAAAAATATAATAATATATATTTTTATTGCTATTGAAACTTTATGTAGAAAATTATTTTATCCAAAGTTTATTATTTGTTTATATAATTATTCTGTTTACACAAAGAAAAAGTTTGTTTAATTTAAATTTGAATTCAAATATATTGAAAACTTCCCGCCACTAAGTGAAGATGTGAAGAACCAATCAGCAACGTTCTTACTTGCGGCTATATTCAGATCAGTTAAGGTTAGGTGGTTTGATTTTGTCATTATTATAAGTTTATTTTTCATATTAATTGTGTTATAATTAGTGAATTAAAGTTCAAGAAGAGTAGAAAATGCCACGAGGATTCAATTTTTTGGATCTTGTTTGCGCAAAGAATCGGTAAAATATTCCAATTTGCCGGAGAGATACATCAAACGTGCCGGCGGAGAGCAAGTTAGTAATTTTGTCATCTTTATTTAATGTTATTTATCATTAATCTTAAACAAAATGTATGAAATACATTCAATTTTGTGCAATTGCTTCACGTTTTACTACATATTTGTTTTGTTCTGTTGTTTTAACATGTTTTTAAGTGAGAAATTTTCTCTCATCATTTTTGAGGTTAGAAAATACAATTATTTGTTGGATTTGTTGTTTGTTGTCAATGTGTTTATTTTTCTTAAATTTCAAATTTATTTCAAATAAATTATAATAAAATTTGTTAAAAAAAAAAAAACAGTCTAGAATATTATCTTAATGTAATGAAAATAATTGTTTTCAGTATTTTTATTTTATCAATTTAAGTTTAAATTATTAGATCAAAAATGTATTTATTTATTAATATAATATATTTGTATTCCTATTGAAATTTTACACAAAATTTACTATTTGTTTATAAAATTATTCTTTTTACTTTATTATTCTTTTTAATTTGAATTCAAATAAAATTGAAAACCCGCCACTAAGTGAAGAACCAATCAGCGGCGTTCTGACTTGCGGCTGTATTCAGATCAGTTAAGGTTAGGTAGTTTCCACACATGATCGCAAGGATCACAAGTATTTTCACCTGCAAATGATTTTGTCATTATAAGCTTATTTTATATATCAATTGTGTAATAAATAGTGAATTGAAGTACGAAATAATTAAAAAATGCCTCGAGGATTCAATTTTTTGGATCTCGTTTGCAAAGAATCGGTAAAATATTCCAATTTGCCGGAAAGGTACATCAAACGTGCCGGAGAGCAAGTTAGTAATTTTGTCACCTTTACTTAATATTTCTCATTAATACTAAACAAAATGTATAAAATACATTCAATTCTTGTGAAATTATTTCACGTGTTTTTTTATGTCTGTTTGGTTCTGCTGTTTTAACATGTTTTTTCGTGAAAGGAGTGAAAGATTTTCTTTCATCATTTTTGAGGTTAGGAAAGTATTATTATTTTTTTTTTGTGGAATATTATTTCTAAATTTGAAACTTATTGAAAATAAATTATTATAAAGTCAATCAAGTAAGAAAACAGGAATAGTATTTTAAAAATACGGAAAACAGTATTTTTATTGTAGGTTAAGTTATGAACTTAAAAATGTTTAATACCTATGAGTGATGAAAGAAAAACTATTGGTGTGAGTAAATTTTATTTTGATCATAATTTAATATAAAAACCATTGGTATGAGTGAAATATATCGTTTTTTTAATTAACAAAAAAGATTTTTTATTCGTGTATATTTGCATTTATTGGATTGATATCGAATGTGAGTGAGCCAAATCAATAATAAAAATTAAAAGGACGTGTAAGTATTATTTTTTATTATCTTTTTTTTCTTAACCATATTTGAAATTTTTTGTTTTCAAAAAACGTGTGTAATGTATGAATGTATGTAAATTAACGAAATAAAGGTTTTTCTAATAATTTTTGATGACTTATTTTTATTTGAAAATTTTAATAGATTTCTTGGAAAACACCACGAGGTCTACCAAATTATTTACCTCGTACTGTACAACGTAAAAAATTTAATTTTTCAAATCATCGACCATGGACGCAAGAATTTGCTATGGAGAATCGCAGGACTATTCCTTTTAAAAGAGTTCCCATTGAACCAATTAAAAAATGGTCCTTTTTCCGCGGTGACAAGGTACGTACAAAAAAGTTGACAGAAAATAGAAAAATAATAATAATAATATTAGAAAAATAATATTAATTCAAGTAATTAAAATAAAATAATAATTTCAGTAAAATAAATAAAAGTAATGTTATTTCAATTAATTTTACAAATCTTTATGAATTAATTAACCAATTAAAAATTGATTACTATTTTGTATTTATGAACAAAATTTGTTTTTAGGTTGAGATTTTGACTGGCAAGGACAAAGGAAAACAAGGAACGGTTTCGTTAATTTTCCAAGAAAGAAACTGGATACATGTTGAAGGACTCAATACCAAAATGCATACAGTAATGGAAAGTAAGGGTTTTCCAGGTGTAAATGTATTGAGAGAACAACCCCTTCTTGTAACTGAAGAAGTTTCTCTCGTGGATCCCAGTGACATGTACGATTTCAATTATTTATTATTTATTATTTTTACTCATTCATTATATTAATTTTAATATTTATTGTAAATATTAATATAATTTGTTCCAATCTTTTTTAAATTGTAATTTTTGTTCTTTAACACAGGCAACCTACTGAAGTTGAATGGAGATTCACAGAAGAAGGCGAAGAAGTTCGTGTTTCGTTACGAACGGGTAGAATAATTCCTATTCCCACTGCAGATCAAGAGACGATTGATTATAAATTGCCAAAATTATACAAACCTAGCGTTAAAGATACGAAGAAAGTGGACGTTGAAAAAATCACATTCAAGGTAATATATTTTTTAGAAAACTAATTATATTTATAAATTAAATTATATAAGAAAGTAAATAACTTATGAAATAAATAATATATTTATTAAAAATTAAATTATTTAACAATAATTAAGTGTCTCTTGAAAGAAAAAGTAAATAGTTTTAAAAATTTTCTAAAGTTATAAAATTTCTGAATATTTTTTAAACAGAAATTCATTTTTAATTATTTTAATTTTTCAATTTTTCAATTAATAAATTATTACGTAATTAGTTTGAATTATTCGTTTCTAGCTTTAATATTATTAAATATTGAATTTATTCAATAAAATAAATAATATCTAGTAAAATAGGAAATAATTTCTTTAAGAGATGAAATATTTTCCAAAAGTCTATTTTTTACAATAAAGTAGAAATTTATGTTTCGTATAATATTTTAAGGACTAAATTATTTTTTCTATAAAAAGAGATGCTTTTTTTATTTATTTAATACTTATTGTGAATTTATTCTGAAAATGATAATTTTAATATAAACTATTTATTGTAACATTGTAGCCTGAATTGAAAACTTTTGAAATGGACATCATGGATAAAATGGGAATAAACGAAGATCGGGTTCCTAAAAAGGTTTATTGGTATTGAATATACTTTTAGTGTTTGTATAATAATTAAATTGCAAATTGTCTACAATTTATTACAATAAATGATTTATTAAGTTTAAACAATTCAGTTGTTTAATTTATTGCAAATTTAAAAAAATTTTTGAATTAAAATCTTTAATTTTAATTTAATTAAAAATGTTTTAAATTTTCCCTTTCATTTTTTTTTTTTTTAAGAAAATTTTCAACCATATATTTTGCAAATTAATTAATTATAATTAGGTATTATATTTTAATTTAATGTTTTTCTATATAAAAAATAGTTTTTTTTCTAGTTTTCTTTTTAGATTTTTGTTTAGATTTTGGTTTGGATTTCTGTTTAGATTTATTTTAGATTTCTTTTCAGAAATATGGACATATTTTAATTCAACGTTTATATTATAGGTATTATCAAATTTTATTTATTATTAACTAATTAATTATATTAATTAGTTATTATTATAAATAATTATAACTAATTATTTATTAACTAATCATTGAATATAAATTAAATTTGACAATATAACAATAATAAATAATATTTCCAACGAATAAATAATTAATAAATAATAATTTCAATCGAGAAAAGAAAATAATAATTGAAAAAATGTATGGTTTACGTATTTTTAAAATATTTATTATTATCAGAAGCTACACTCGAGGGTAAATTTGCTTTACAAATTCAACAATATTGTATAGAAAAACATTTAGTTTTTAGAGATGCATACATTACAGCAGACACCAAACACAAAAAAAAATGCAACTTATTTAATTTGTTAGAGTTGTATTATTTTTAATCAAACTACTAAACGAGTTATTTTCAATTATTTTTTAAATCAATATATAAAAATTAAGCCCTATGCCGAATGTTTGCCACACACATTTATCACAGCACGATTTACAACAAAGGCGAATCCAAATACATTTAATATAAACAATTACTTTTTTCCACAATTTAAATACTCCAATAATAATATACTTTTTCTTATATTAATAACATTTTTTTGTTTTTATATTAAATCTATGTCACATTTTTCGTTTCGCACTTTAATTTATACATTTTTTTTTATTTATTCATTCATACATTTTTGTTTTCTTTTACTAAAACTTTATACATCCCTTTTTTTCTATCAAAAAAAAAAAAACTATTTACAGTGAAAATTAATATTTTTTATATAAAATGGAGAGATGTTTTTCTTTTATAAAGAGAATTGTTTCACTGGGAAATCTTTTCCTACTATAATACATAGACAATTTATATCCAAATGGATATTTACAAAAATATATTCACTCTAGATTAATACAATTTTTTTTACGTTTTTATTTATTTATATATTTGTAGAGAAAATGTGTCAATTTTCAAAACTGATTTAATTTATCAGATTTTCTTTTATAGATTATATAATATAATATTTTAGTCGATAAAAATCCTGCTTTGTTAATATATTGCACTGTTAGAATAAATTGCTGTTTATTATAAAAAAAAATAATAATATTAATTGCAATAATAATATTAATAATAATAATAATAATGATAAAATAATAATAATAATAGATAATAATAATAATAATAATAATAATGATAATAATAATAATATTAATAATATTAATAAAAAATTAAAAAATAATAAAAATATTAATATTATAATTATAATAAATTATAATTATAATAATTTTCTAAGATGTAGAAAAATAGGGGTCTTTATATAGAGGCATTTTACAGTCAATTGTTTATGAATATCGAACTTTGTGTGGAAAGAATTTTTACAAATTTTCCAACAAAATTTTATTTTCCATTTTTACCCTGATATTTTTAAGAAATGAAAATAATGTACAAAATTTTCTATTTTACAAATTTGATTATAATTTTATTTTTCTCTCATATTTAAGTTAAAATTTTCTTTTTTCTCAATAAATTTACAAAAACATTGTTTTTATTTAAAAAAAGAATTCATAGTAAAAAGTGAAGAGTAAAAAAGAATTGTTTTTAAACAACTGATAAAATTTCTAAAGTTTGAAAATTTGGAAAAATAAAATTTTTTAATATTAAATTTGACTAAAAATTAATAATTTTGTAAAATAAAAATTTTCAACGCATTTTCATTTTTCATTTTTTTTAGCAGTTCAGCATTACAATTAATTGCGTATACGTTGTATCATTATTTAAAAAAAAAAACAATAGCACACACAAAAAATAAGATCGATTTCCATTTTTTTTTGTGAAAATCAATTTTTTATTGATTTTGACAATAAACTATTTATAATGAAACTGAAAAAGACAAAACTGAAACTACTAATGATGAATAATGGACAAATAATTGTTTTTATATAATTAGTATAGTATTTATTTGCAGTTGTTTCTCAGTAATATTTAATATTATTCTCGCTGTAATATTTATTTCATTATTCTCATCGGTATTTATTTTTATTATTTCTCTTCTAAAGAATATAGAAGAAGAGAAAACATAATTAAATAGAAAATTTTCATTTTTAATGAAAATTGAAAGCTTTTTTTTAATAGTTTATGTAGAGTATTTTTTTTATAGTTATAAAGCTATACAGTCGTTTTTAATTTTTTTTTATCTATTCTTTTTCCCTTTTGTTTTATATTGCAAACAAAATATTATGCCTATTTTTTATACAAAGAAAATAAGAAAAAAAAAATTGACTACGATTCACGATGACTTTGTGGCAGGGTGCCTGACTAGGAGATTAACTTCTCCATCGTGCAATTTTTTCATTAAGGACCATGCTTCTATCCTTGACATTCTTGTGACGTCATTTCCATTTACTTCGAGTAATTGATCGCCGGCTTTTAAAGCACCTGTTTTTTCCGCAGCACCTCCTAAAAAAATTTTTTTGTGACATTAAATAAATTAATTTTGACTCGATTAATTAACTAAATAAACTTTTAATTAAATTATTAATATAATAACGTAATATCAATTTTTTTTCTTAAAATTTTACTGGAGAGTTTTTGAAAATTGTAGAAATTGTTTTCAATTTTTTTCACTGAAAATTGCAGAAATAATTTTTAAAAAAATGTTTTCTTAATATTTTAGTGAAAAATTTTAGAAATTATTTTCAATTTTTTTCCTAAAATTTTAGTGGAATTTAGAATTTTAGTGAAAAATTCTAGAAATTATTTTCACTGAAAATTGCAGAAATTATTTAAAAGAATTTTTTTTCTTAAAATTTTAGTGGAAAATTTTACACATTATTTTCAATTTTTTCCCTAAAATTTTAGTGAAAAATTCTACAAGTTATTTTCAATTTTTTACCTAAAATTTTAGTGGAAAATTACTGAAAATTTCAAAACTAATTTTCAATTTTCTTTTCTTAAAATATTAGTGGAAAATTTTAGAAATCATTTTCAATTTTCTTCCTAGAATTCTAGTGGAAATTTTATTGCCGAAATTATTTTCAAGTTTTTTTTTAATTTTAGTGGAAAATTACTAAAAATTCCATAAATCATTTTCAATTTTCTTCCTAGAATTCTAGTGGAAATTTTATTGTAGAAATTATTTTCAAGTTTTTTTTTAATTTTAGTGGAAAATTACTAAAAATTCCATAAATCATTTTCAATTTTCTTCCTAGAATTCTAGTGGAAATTTTATTGTAGAAATTATTTTCAAGTTTTTTTTTAATTTTAGTGGAAAATTACTAAAAATTCCATAAATTATTTTCAATTTTTTTTAAATGTTGAAAGAAAATTACTGAAGATTATTATTTAAAAATAAAGTTATTATAAAGAGAAAAAAAAATAAAATACAATAAAAAATTATAAAATATAATTATAAACAGAAAATTAAAACAGAACGATTTGAAAATTGTAATAAATAATTTTTATTTTATTTTTAATTTTTATTTTTACTACCTAAAATTTCAGTAGAAAATTATTGAAAAATTTAGAAATTTGTTAATTTTAATTAGTATTCGATTTCTTCAATAAGTCATTTCGAAAGAAAATTTAATTCCTTATTGTCAACAAAAAGAAATTAATTACCCTTGGCTTTGTTGGAAAATTTTGTTTTGAAATTAATTTTAACTGGAAATTTAAATTTCAAAATTAGAAAAAAATGGAATGTATTTCAAGACAAATAATATCTGATAAAGAAAAAAATTTATAGAAGAGAATAATAAAAATAAATCGATTTAAATAAGGAAAATTTAATTATTCTTTATTGATTAATTTTATTATTTTTTCTCTAAATTTTAGTGGAAAATTACTGTAAATTTTTGAAAATGTTGATTGAGTATTTAGTCGACTTTGAAATTACTCGGAATTAGAAAGAAAAGTTAATGCCCCACTGTAAACAAGAGAGATAACGACCCTTGGCATTGTTTTCTCTCCATCCTTGTCTATCTTTTCTTCAACGACAATAAAAGTACGAAATTCAAATTGAGCCCTTTCCCCCTCTTTTCTTTTCTGCGTCGATAATTTTCGCCTTCTACCTGAATGACTTTGCCATAGCGTCACAGTCTATTGATCTCTTTTGTTGGGGCCAGTTGTTAAATATAATGTACATTTTCACCAAAAAATTGAATTTTAATTTATATTATTTAATTTTTTCTAAATACTTTTCTAATATTTGAAATAAATTAAGTGCTTCAAGTAATCGAATCAAAAATTTTCAATCAAGTAGAACGTGCAAGAATTTTCGACGCAGCAAAACTTTTTTTGAAGAGACCAATAATTTTTCATTAATTATTCCAGGTGAAATTTATTTTTTCCTTATAGTAATTTGAGTTTTTAATAATTTAGCTATAGATTATTTCTATTATTTTGTATTTTTATATTCATAATTACTTTTTATTAATTATATTTAATTTGTTTATATGTACATTAATTTTAAACATATTAAGTATGTTTATACTTAAAAAAGTTAATTTTTTTAATTCAATTTCTCACCTGTGAATATTTTTTTTATTATTAAAGGTCTGTCACCGAGAGGACTGTCCCTTCCACCCTCTAGACTAAATCCGAGACCTGCTCCATCTTTATGAATTGCTATAGTCGAAGGTGGTCCCCATGCTGTGTTTTCAATTCCGCCATTCATCTCATAACCTGCAAACAGTATGTTATTTGGTATTTTTATATATTTTTTTACTATTTTTCCCATTTTGTTATTTTTTTTGCGGTGGAGTTTAAATTTCGCGCCTAAATTCCACCATATTGGACCCGACATTTTGAATTTAGAAAATCTAATGTTGGATTCGTAATTAACAACCCAGAAAACTCCCGAGTAACGATTTTAAAGTGAGTCCAATTAATTGTAAATAATAATTCTTTCGTATTTGATTCGCCATTTTGAATTTTGAAAAAATGAGATTGGATTCTTAATTAACAACCCCAAAAACGCCCGAGTAACGATTTTAAAATAATGATTCCGTCATTTTAAATTTTGCAAAATTGACATTAGATTCGTAATTTAAAAATCCGGAAAACCCTCCCGAGTAGCGATTTTGAAGCGAATCCAATTAATTGTCAATAAAAATTTCGGATTTGCCATTTGAATTGTGTCCTGAGTTTAGGAAACATTAAGATAAAAATTTAGGGTGTAGTAGCAGTGGCGTTCTTTGCGAAGAATACCAAAAGTTTTTGTTTCTATATTTTTCCACAAGAGACGCCACTATTGCCAAACTAAATATTGCCCAACCATTTCCCTTATTATCATTTCGTGTGTCTACCAAATTCAACAGGTAATTAAAATCCTGAATTAAAAAATTAGTCACCTTCCACAATAGTCTCGACGCTTTCGGTGCGCGTTCTCAATTTACAGCCCTCGTCAATGCGAGCTCTAGAGACAACAAGCACCACTTCGGACCTTGGTTGCTTGAGAACAGAGAGACTTTCCCGATGTGAAAGCCCCCTTGTGCTTCTTCCATTAATACTCAAAATTCGATCTCCCCTCTGCACCCTGCCATCCTTATCAGCAATTGAATGCGACAATACACGATGTACCGTGATTTCTTTTGCCTCACAATCAATACCTCCGGCTAGTGTTATACCAACACTACCAGAAGGATTTTCCTTGTGTAGCAAAACCACAATTACATCGTGAGAACCACGAGCTTCCTCTAGACTCGCCTCCTCGACCAATTGAGCCAATTCCTGTTGCGATATCAAACTCGTACTACTCGCTAGTGAACTAATACTGCCAAATTGTTCAATACAAAATCTCTCCGCATCACCTTCAACACCCACAGGTCGTATATTCTCCTCGACACTACTGTCTAAACTTGGAAAACGATTGTGAACATTATTGCCAGTTTGTAGTGTCGTTATTGCTCCACTTTGATTTGGAGAATCAGTTTTTTCAAATGCTTTCTTCATGTCCGTTACACTTGCACTACGTCGACCTAAACTTTTAGATGTGGGAATTTTCGATACTAAATTTTTTGGTTTCTCTGAAATGTCCACTAGGTCTTCGCTGTTATTAGTGACTTTTGGTCTGTTTAATGAGGGGATTTTTGACGGAAATGTTCTCTCTTCATTCCAATCACTTGAATTCGATCTTCTAGCCGGTGATTTTGTATCCGTTTCGTGTTTAATAGATTTTTCCAAATGGATTCCATTTCTGTCCAGGGATGTTGTAGTCTCGATGGTAACGCTTTGTGTACGCGTTAATTTCGGTTCGTTTTTCAGAGTCAGAATGTCCTCGAGACTCATTTGGCTCCTCGATTTTCCATAGGAACTCTCCTCGACGTGAATTGCAGATCTAAAATCGAAAACATGATTTTTATAATAGAAGGAGTCAAATTATTAGTTGTCTATTCTGGAGATAGCAAAACGGGACAGAATTTATGGGTGTAATTAGTAAATTGGGTCAAAAAATTTTTGGAGTAAATAGCAAAAAATGTTTACCTGGATCTGCTCTTTGTTGTCAAAATGGTCAAAAGATCAGTTTCGTTGTTATTCTTTTGGGGAAATTTCGCATTCTTATCAGTCTCGTCTAATTCATTACTCGACGTTCGATTTCTCGGACAAAGAATATCATCTGCAGTTTGATCGTCCAATGTCAATGATGATCGACTTCTACCCGTTCTCATTGTCTTTTCACTGGAAATTTTGTCCGCAAGATTCTTGACCTCCGATCGCACCCACATTTTCAAATCATTCGATGGTTCCAGACTCTCTGGTTTTGGAGGTCTACCCACTGGTTGCGGTATACTTCTCTTAGGCGGTAATTTCGGTTCGTCCACTTTTTCTATCGGTTGCTCATCATCCTGAACTGTTTCAATATAGGCGATCTTAGTTTCGCCATTTCCATTCACCTTTTGTGAATAGTCGACATTCCCTCCTTCCGGAGTTTCCTCATCGTCGGAGAATTTTCGTTGAATTAGTGGCGAACCGTTGAGGTCCCTTCCACTCCTACATTTGGCACTTGCGAGAATATTTTTGCGATTTATCGCCTCGACACTTTGGGGTTTTAGAACTCTTCGGGATAGTGATTCGGCTATTTGCGATCCGGTTGTTAGTGTCGAAGAGCTACTGGAATCGGTACTATTTGTTCTCTTTATTATTTGTCTCTGGGGAATTTGGGAATTTTTATTGAATTCACACTTGTCGGAACTTATCGAATAAATCGGTTTCGAGAAACAATTCCCGTCGGGATCATTTTTTAGAGGATCGATAATCAGCGTTCGTCGTTGGTAATTCATTTCGGAGGTGATGTAGTTTCTGTCTGATGGTACTGGTGACATTGGTGGACTGAAACCCCGGGAGATGCTACTTTGGGAACTGCTCACTGCTGAATCGTTGTCGGAATCATCGTAGTCGGTTCGGGTTTTCTTTTGTCCGATTCTAGGTCTGGAGCGTAAATTCTCAGGTGAGCCTGTTGATGATAGGTACTCGAAACTGTAATCACTTCTTGTTGGACTGCAGATACTTTCCAAACTCTTGGGTGCTTCGGATAGGGTCGAATTTATTGTTTGGCTCATTTTTGGATTTGAGTTGTTGCAATTTGTGTTGTAATTGGAGGGTGAGATGGTGTTGGGTGTGCTGTAGACGGATAGACTTTTTCTCTTGAAGGCCGGCGAGTATTTTGATAAAATTTGAGGTGCTGGCATTTTGAAGGAGGTGGTTGCTTTCATTGGAGTGCTTACTGTACTCGTGTTACTGGCCAAGGAACTCTGCGAACCCCACTTGTCCTGAATGCTTGACTTTGGTACCTGAAAAGCAAAAATTTATTCGAATGCTGACATTGTTTTTCAAATATCAAATTGAGACAAAAAATGTATCAAAAGTTGCGATTCGCAACTTTTGATACATTTTTTGTCTCAATTTGATATTCTTAGGAAATCTTCGGATTAGTTTGAATCCTGAATTTTATTCGAAGCCTGATCCAAAATTTCGAATACTGATTCGGATTAGGAACTAATGGATAGATGTTCCGATTTTTCGACCTGTGTATCAAATTTTTTGGATATTTTTGGTACACATAATCCAAATCGGTAGTCGAAACATTGGATCGTAATTATACCTGATTGATAAGAATCGAATCCCTGGACTTGATTTCCGGAAGGTCGATGATGGCTTGATCGACGGGAACAGCATCCTTCTCGGGTATGACAAGACCACGTAGTTTCGATATTCCCTTTCGCCTCTGTTCGATAAGTTGATTTAGACTGCTTCGTCGTAGTTCCTCGCCAGGTTTTCTGAATGTCGAAACAAGTGAATTTGTCCTCGATATTTGCGATGTCGAGAGTACTTGGTTCGATGTTTGTGGACGTTCGTGATTGAAACAAGTACCAGCACCCGAGAAACTTGTCGCTCTCACCAATGTTGGTGGTGAATTTTTCACCGTTGAATCGAAGGATTTACTGAATCCGGAATCGATACTTGAATCGATGTTTTTGGGTGTGTATGTCTTGGTAGCGTAGGTTGAATACTGTTTCTCCTCGGATAAGGTGGAATTTTTTGATTCAGTTGTAAAAATATCTTCGATTGGTGGTGAGGTTTTTGGAAGACTAGGTGGTCTTTGAATATACTTGGCTGAATTTTGTTGATTTGATGATTCATTATTGAATGTTGGCGAGTTTGTTGGTGAATTTGTTGATTGATTACCATCAGTGGTGGAAATATCAAACGAACTTTGTGTTCTTTCGGAGAAATATTGTGTTGCTTTTGTTTTTTCATCAGCGAATACATCGTCTGATGATTTATGTTTGGATAATTTTCTACCATTTGGGGTGGTATTGTTTGTGGTATTTGTGGATTGGTTTGGAAAGAGTGGAACCTCGATGTTGCTCTGTGATGAGAACATGGCAATTTTGTCTCTCACTGAACGTTCAGATTTGTCGTCTTGTCGCCAAAGTTCGCCGTTTGAGGAGAATTTTCTTGTTTGTTCCGAATTGTTACGAACTAATGATAAATTATCGACTTTTGGTGGTTCGGTTAATGGTAATGGTGGTGGATTGTCTGGCTTGAAGGGAGAATCCATTATTGATGGCACTTCTTTTGGATAATAGCCGGCGATTTCGATTTTTCTTTCCGATATGACAATTGGTTTTGGTTTATATTTTTGATCGTTGACAATATGATCGACTACACATTGCGAAACGATGTGGATTTTCTCGATTGATTTACTATTATTGTTTGCTTTTGGATGATAATTTTCGGTTGTTAGAAAGGTTTGATTTTGACAGATTAAATTTCCGTTTGTTGTCATTGTTGATAGGTTTGTAGTTGCTACAAATTGATATTGATCAGGATTCGTGAATTCCTGATAAGCCGCTGGAAATTCATCCCCGTCCGGAGGCAGGCGTTGACCGCCTTCACAATTGTCCATTCTACCATTTACTGGGCCTGGAACAAAAATAAATTTTTTGTTTTGAAATTTTTATTTAAAGAAAAAGAAATTTTATTCTAGTTGCATGCAGATTTTTAAAATATAAAATCCAGTAGAACTTGTGTGTAAAATGGAAAAGAAAAATGCACAACTTTGGTGTAAATTATCGAAAGAGAAGAACAAAAATAGTGGATCAAAAATAGTCAATCCTAATGGAGACACATTTCGTGTTATATATTTCATTCTTAAAATAAGATCTTCCCTTTTTATTGTCCCTTTCGGTTGGTGTTAATCTCGTCGTTTATTCCAAGTATAACAACTTTATTTACGCATCATTGCCAACCGCGAGCAAGAAATTTTTTTTTTTTTTTTTTTGAAGACAATCTGAAATTCAACCGCAGTTCACATAAATCCCTTTAAGCCTACGATTATCAACGGTTTTCGCGATGAATAAGTAGTCATTTAGTTTTGATTTAATGAAAGAAGTAGGCATATAAGAGAATGTAAAGAGTGAGTGAGAGAGAGAGAAGGAGAACATTCAGAAATTATTACGTTATTCAAGGCACATTGCTTTGGGTGCGGCATCTCATATATTTTTCTTCTTTTTTTTCTTTCTTGTTTCGTTTTACTCAAAGTTGCTTCTTCAACGAACTCGTATCTTTCGCAAGGATGAATATAAAAGGATATTAAAACCTTTTTACTCTTTATTCAACGTCAACTGCTTTTCATGACACTTGTAGTATTTCATTGGACAAAGTCTACTTATGTCAGTTTTTGTAATGGATCATCAGCTTTTTTCTTGTATTTTTGAAATTTTCTATTTTTGTATTTACAGAAAAATGTCTCAACTCTTATTTGTTTTTGTAATTGGTGGACAAAATTTTTTCTTTTCCTTAAAAGTTCAAGTTCAAGTAAATTTTATTTGGTTCAAATAAATTTTGTTTGGTTCAAGTAAATTTTAATCGTTACAAATAAATTTTATTTGATTCAAGTAAATTTTAATCGTTTCAAGTAAATTTGATTTGGTTCAAATAAATTTTTTCTCTTGGTAGAAATAAAATTCTTTTAATAAAATAAAAATAAAATAAAAATATTTTATTAAAATAAAAATTAAAAAAATGTATTTTTATACACACTTGAGAGAAAAAAATCCGCCAGTAACGCGATTAGAAAACTTTAAAGAAATTCATAAGTGCTATTTTGAAAAACCGATAAAATTATACATTTTAGAAGTATTTAAGATAACTGGTATTTAATACACTTTAGTACTTTAATCTATTATTCATTTAGATAATTGATATCTTTTAAAAAAGCGGATTAAATAGTTATAGGCCGCAAATAGTTGATATTTATGATCTAAGCGTCTTGAGATAAAAGCATAATTTTATTTTTAAATATTCCTTCCCTGCTATCTTGTATACCGCATATGTATATATGAAAGTTATCAAAAAAAAAGTATTTTTAAATTGAAAATAATGTAAAGTGTTGGAATAATTTTTTTACTTAATAATTTTAAAGACCACACATTTGCTAAATGCGAAAATAAAAAATGTTTAATTTGATACATTTTTTTCTCTTAAATTTTTAATTAAATGAATTATTTAAATGATTTATAAACAAGAATTATAAAAAAATTTATGAAAAAGTTTTTAAATAAATTTTTTTAATAAAATTGTTTAATTAATTTTTTGAATAAATTTTTTTAGGCAGGATATTGAAATTATTTGACAAGTGAGATTTTATTAATGATGATTAATTGAGAAAAATTGTATTTTATTTCACACTAAAATAAATGTTGTTTAATCGTAGGCGTATATTTGTAATGATTAGCGCTAGTTTCCTGTCACAACCAGTTTTCTAAATAAATTAATATATTTGAATTTTATCATTTTCTTTCGGAGTAATCAATTACAAAAGATTTAATACATCGCTCGAGAAAAATTGGATCATTTTTATATTTTTTCTTTATTCTTTATTATTTTCTTATTTTTAATTCCCTTTTTTCTGTCTTTTTTTCGTTTTTATTTCCTTTTTTTCCTCTTTTTTCTTTTTTTTCTTTTTTTAGTTCCTTTTTTCGGTTTCTATTTCCCTTTCCTTCTTTTTTTCTGTTTCTTTTTCCTTTTTTCCCCTCTTTATTTTTTTCTTTTCTTATTTCCTTCTTTCTTTTTTTCAGTTCCTATTTTCTTTTTTACTCTTTTTTATTTTTTTATTTTTTTCTTTTTTTATTTCAATTTTTTGGTTTCTATATCTATCTTCTTTTCCCCTTTTTTTATTTTTTTGTTCTTTTTTTCAGTTTCTATTTTCATTTACTTTTTTCCTTTTTTTTATCTTTTCGTAGTGTACATCCACAACTTTTTTTTCTTTTTTGATTTCCTTTTTTTCTTCTTTTTTATTTTTAAAAAATTTTCTTCTCTTTTTTATTTTCTTATTTCTTTTTTCTGTTTCTCTTTCCTTTTTCCCCTTCTTTTTATTTTTTCTTCTCTCATTTCCTTTTTTTCTGTTTCTATTTCCTTCTTTTTTCTTTTTTGATTTGTTTTCTTTTCTTCTTCTTTTTTATTTTTTTAAAATTTTTTATTCTGGTTTTTTTTTTGTCAGTTAGTAATTAATTCTGCTTTTAATTTATTCATTTTTATTCACTGTGAAATGATTTTCTTCTCTTCGTTTTCGGTTTTTTATTTCTAGATTATAAGTATCAATATGTGTGTAATGAAGATTTTTTTTTGAATTAAAGACTTGACAACAATTTTTGTAGGGTGGGAAACAATTTGAGTGGTAACACCATTGTCTTTGGAATGCGGTATAATAATAAAGTATCAATCTGATCGAGCAAACAATCGTGAGACATGATCTTAAAGGATCTGACTTGCGGGAGTGGTTATAAGAGCAGTCACGATTCTTACGAATCAAGACTCTTCACCTATTGCCTTGAAATCAGATATTTCCCGATTGGTCTGTCCATTACCAGGACAGGTCGATATTTACAAGAGCATCAAATCGTATATATCTCAAAAAATCTTCTACAACTCACATTTTGATAATATATTTATTCTCTAACGATCTTATTATAATAATAATTATTATTTCTATTATATTTATAATTATTCTGTTTTTCAAATGTTTTTTTATTTTTATTTTCATTTTCATTTTTTATTTTTATCTTCTATTTTTATTTTCTATTTTTATTTAAATTTCTAATTTAATTAAGTTCTAATAAAAATAAAAATGTAAAAAATGTTTGCAATTTGATTACTCACGAATGAGGATAATATTTATGGTAAATTTGAAATATTCGAGGGGAAGATTGAAATCAAGGCTATTGACAGCATTTCATAATATAATTACGATTGAGCGATGACAGGAAAGGAAAGTTTCATTATGGGTTTCCATTCAGTGAACAAAAAATGAATAGTAATCAACACATTCAAATGCACTCTCTGTTCTTCATAGCAACTGACCTCTTTTTCCAACTGTCTTTTCTTCTTAAGACACAATAAAATTCCTAACCACATAAAACTTTAAATGAAGAAAAAAATTCGCAATCTGTAATTCTATTTCTATATTTAGAAATATGCAGTTTAGACTTTATTCCTTTTTTGGTAAATATAATTGAAAAATTCCTTTTCTTTCTTTTGTTAAATTAAACCGAAGTTGAAATCGTCTTGTATTTTACATTTTTTGGATTTTATTTGATAATTATTTATTTATTATAATCAGTATTTATTTAAATTGAATTTGACTATAACTGGGTTATAATAAATAAGTTATTATATATAATTTTTTATTTGATGTATTTTATTAAATAATTAATTAAGTAGCATTTTGCTAAAGTTAGGAAACTATTTTTTTTCTTGAAATAAAATAAAATTACAACCGGGAAAAAATTATAAATTTTAATAAGAAATAAATTAACTTTTAATAAATTTTCATAGTGAAAGCTAGAAAATTTTATTTGAACCAAATATAGTTAATTTAAGTTAAATAAAAATAATATAAAAAAAATAAATAAATATAAAATAATAAAAAAAATATCTCTGAGCCTACTAAATTATTTACTTGTTTCAAATAAAATTTTTCTACGACAAAAATATAATTTATTTGAAACAAATAAAGTTTAATGGACTCCAAGTCAAATATATTTTTTTCTGATCGTAAACTATTTGGAATTTTTTACAATTTTTGCAATGAAATTTTACTATTTCCTAAAGTAAATTTTACCGAGTCCAAGAAAAATAATTTAACTAATAATTAAAAATTTACTTTCGGAAATAGTAAAATTTACTCCAGAAATATTAAAATTTAAACTTAAAAATGATCAGAAATAGTATAAAAAAATACCTTTAAAAAAATATAGTAAAATTTACTTCATTTGATTTTTCCCTGTAATTTAAATATTAAAGTTAATTATTATTCGACATTTAGCTTAAAATTCAATTATGAAAGCGAAAATATTTCGAAATTAACTAAATATATTATATTTTATAACAATTTTTTCCTCAAATAAAATATTTTCCGGAATAATTTAATAATTTACTTTAAAATACTGAAATTAGCGGTAAAATCCCAGTGAAAATTGCAAATTTTTTATAAAATGCAAAAAAAAATTACGTTAGAACGTTTTGTCCAGTGTTCCATGAGTCATGTTCAACGTGACACATCGTGATCAAACTATTAAATTGATTTTTTTCCTCAAATTTAACGATCAAGTGTGTTGTAAGTCTACTTTATTCTATATCTTATACATAATATATAGAAAAGAAAAATTTTCACGCGTTGAAAAAATGGAGAAAAAAATAAAAAATCTCTTTGACACTTAGAAGTGATTATTGACAGTTCTTCTTTTTTTCTTTAACCATTGATGATATTGTAATGATTCACTAACAAATTATCTACTATTTTATCAATCAATGAATCACACACTATGTACAAGTGATTACATTTTTGCTCAATTAATAAGTCATAATAGATTGTAATACAAGTTCCTGGTATCTGTCGTTATTATTTCATTATTTTCATAATT